TCATAGACATCGATGCCAATGTTTTCACAGTTTTCTCAATTCTCTATGAGCAGTGGGATTGTTAGTAACACTCATCCAGGGTCGTTATTTTATACATGCCCTTCATCATCATCTATGCCAAATGAACAAAATGTCGATGATGATGATGATAGTGAAGATGAGGAGACTGAAGAGCAAGTTATATGAAGAAATCCTCATCGAAATAGACAACCACCGCCATGTGGAACTCATTCGAGAAGACGACATCGGTGATCCAATTGTATTTTATATTTAAATGTTATTTAAATAGTTGTATTTCACAAATTTATGTAATTTTGCAATGTTATTTAAATGTTTAATGGTTGTTACAACAATATTTTTAAAATTTAAATTCAAATTCAACATTAAATGTTTGTTAAATGTTTTTAAAATGTAAATCCAAATTCAACTTAATATTCCAATTAAAATTTAAAATTGTATTCGAAATTCAAAGTTATATTCCAATTATAGTTCACCAAGAAAGTGACATTACAATTGAAACTTAAATTACATTGTCACAACTAAATGTAGACTTTATCACTTCATCCTAACCATTCTAACTCTTTTTTATCCAATTTATCAAAACTTCACATAACACTTTAATTTAAGTTATGAACTTAAATTTATCAATATGCATGATTTTATCCTTAACTTGCTCAACTTCCAAAAAGAACCCAACTTCACATTCTAACATAAAAATTGACACTCTAACATAAATTTCAGACATAAATTTCAAGTATAATAGGACAATTATAACATATTACAAAGAAAGAACACTCAAGAATGAATACAATTGAGTAAAAATGGTGTTCTTGAAAGCAAAATGAATATTGAATGGAAATAGGATTGAAAATGCTCAAACGATAAGTTCAAGGGTTTCTTTTTTATTCTCTCTCAATTCTTGTTTCTTGTTATTGATCAATGGCTCCTGAGCTTGTTTAAATACACCTTGGATCAATTCTGAACGTTGGGGATCATTGGTGAAGTCAATAGATCCGTTGTTGTATGTCTTCCACTTAAAAAATCTGTTAGGATCGTAGGTGTATCAGTACACAATCAAGTGTATCGGTACACTTAGTGTAAAATTCAAATATTTCGACCGTTGGTTGACCTAGTGTGTCGATACACTTTGGGTGTATCGGTACACTAATTACATTCAATGTTTCTCGGAGCCAGGGGTATATCGGTACATCAGCCAGTGTTTCGATACACAAAATGCATTCGATGTTGGGGGTGTATCGATACATCACAGAGTGTATCAGTACCTCCCTTTGTAAAAATCATTTTTGGCCCGATTAAGGTTCGAAATACTTTGTAAAAATTGTTTCAAAAATATTTTAAGACCCATAAACTATTTTACACTTTAATAAGGATTAAAATTGACCTTTGAAAACTTGGAGTAATATTTTTGATATTCGAATAATTTAATCGAATATTTGAAATTGGATATAAAATCTTAAAATCATTTATTCTCTATTTGTTATATCAAAACATCAAAATGTTTTCAACAAATTATAACATATTCTCTGACAAAATAATGGAAGGCGCATCCCCTGAAACGCGCTTTCACTTTGCTGCGTCCCCTCAAACATGATATGTACTGACATGAATAGTGCCCCGGGGGACATGAGTGACACAATAGGGAAATTATAACATATTCTCTGACAAAATAATGGAAGGTGTGCCCCCTGAAATGCGCTTTCACCACTTTGTTGCGTCCCCTCAAACATAATAGGTAATGACATAAATAGTGCCCCGGGGGATATGAGTGACATAATAGGGCAATTATAACATATTCTCTGACAAAATAATGGATACGCCCCCTGAAACACGCTTTCACCACTTTGCTGCGTCCCCTCAAACATGATAGTTACTAACATGAATAGTGCCCCGGGGGACATGAGTGACATAATAGGGTAATTATAACATATTATCTGACAAAATAATGGAAGGTGCCCCTTGAAATGTGCTTTCACCACTTTTTTGCACCCCCTCAAACATGATAAGTACTGATATGAATAATGCCCCCGGGGGACATGTGTAACACCCCAACTCGTACCCGACCCGAATACGAGTTCGAGATGTCACATTGACTTTTTAAAACAATATACTTACAAAATAACAGAACATTTGGACTTATATTAAGAAAATACGATCATATACTGTTAAATTATGTTCGTTATAACAAATTTAAGGAAATAAATGTTTTTATGAATAGTACTATATTGTATGAACAATACCGTGAATAGTATTCACACATCCATATCATATCATTCTTTCACATAGCTCTTTATCACATTTCATATGATCACATATTTCTTCTCTTCTGTCACGTACCACATGTACGTGTAATCATTTCTCTTATATCATATGATTTTCTCGTATATTCTTATATCCCATTGCCACGTATTCATTTTATATTCATATGGCACATAGTTCATATCACTTTTGCATGTAATCACATAAACATATATATATCATATCTTTTTCATATATATTTCCCATATAACTCATATCATTTAATTCGTATCTTATTCTTATATCATCATATATATATCATCTATGTTCATTCACTTAATCTCTTATGTTCATATATCACATATTGCATATTCATATAATCATATAGGTCATGTCACATATAATAATACATACCTATTTTTATGTACTCATGCACACATAAGAATCACATCAATCATATAACATTTCAGGAGTCACTTCTTACCATAGTAACTCCGTCACTGGCTCATCGCAAGCCAATGTTAGATCAATAACATAAGTACAATTAAATTGCACTCACCTTAGCCTTGCTTTGATTCGATCTAATTCTTTGATTGTTCTGGAACTTGTTTAGGCTCAATATCTACATAAACATAATTTCCGAGACGATTATCAGAAGCCTAAACCTTATAACTTGATGTTAATAACTTAAGCTAGTTTAATGAACCAAAAATCTATTTTTCCTTTAGGGGTATCGATACCCTTATTGCATTCTGTGATTTTTCGTTCAAGAGGGTATCGATACCTATTGAATGGGTACCGATACTCTTTGCCCAGAAATCACATTTTAAGCACGAAATTCACTATTTTTATCTTCAACACTTCATGTTCCCTTTCATGTTCTTAAGTTACATATACATGTTTAAACTCATTTATATCCATTTATTTCATCTTAAACCTCAAAGTCCTCTCCTCTTTATGAACTTCAAGAATCATACCCAAATTTTTAACATGTTTTAAATCCAATTCTAACATTTCATATCTCTTAATTATATTGATGACAAGTCAAATCCAACTTTCAATTCTTATTATAAGCTCTATTTCAAGATTTCACTCAAGAACTCTAAATCTTTAATCTTCCATAACTCCTTTATCTTTTGATTTTAAGATAACTTAAGCTTTCCTTAAGCTTAGTTATCATCTAATGATCAAAACCCAAACCTTAAATCAACAAATCAGAAAACTTACCTTTGCTTGGCTCTCCCTCACATATAAAGAAGAAGAAGAAGAAGAAGAAGAAGAAGAAGAAAGAAAGAAATAAGAGATTTATGGAGAAATCTCTCAACCTTATCCCCATATATACCATTATCTTATCATTTCCAAGTCAAATGGCCATTTTTCCCTTTAATTCATTTAATAATTACTAACAACCTTTAGGAAATATTTCCAGATAAATCATTGAACTATTCAACTATTCTACTTTAATCACCAAATTCTAAATTTTTACAATTTGGTCACTAACCCGATATTGAGGATGTTACAACATGAGTGACATAATAGGACAATTATAACATATTCTCTGACAAAATAATGGAAGACGCACCCCCTGAAACGCGTCTTCACCACTTTGTTGTGTCCTCTCAAACATGATAGGTAATGACATGAATATTACCCCCGGGAGACATGAGTGACATAATAGGGCAATTATAACATATTCTCTGACAAAATAATAGAAGGCCCCCCTGAAACACACCTTCACATGAATAGTACCCCAGTTATAGACATTATTATATGGAATGTATTATAAACTTTCAAAACACACTTCAGCTCCCAAGCTTTCAAAATCTCAAACTCTAAATTTCTCAAATATCTCAATCTTGTATTCTCTGAAAATGAGTCGTCTTTCTACTGTTGTTTTATATGATGGAGAAATTAAGGAATCTGAAGAGGGGGTTGTTTTTGAATCAGATCATTTTATCCCCTTAACTTTGAAGAGAAACATCACTCTTGAGGAGTTAATCACAAAAATTCCGTTAAAGATTCGTGTAGCAGGCCGAAAAGACTATCTTCATTTCAATATAGATTTCCTATTGAACTTTTTCCACTCACATATACATCATTTCAGCTTTCTAACAATGATGATGTTTTTATGATGGTTGATGCTCATATGGAAAGTTCATAATCTCTTATTGAAATGTATGCCACTTTTATTGAGGTTCGTGTTTCTCGTGGTTTTTTATATTCCTCTCACTTTGGCATTGCATATCAAGCTGATCAAGTTGATAGCCTGACGTAAATGATCTGTAATGATTTCACATCATTAATGGAAAATCCAACGCCAGATTCCATGCCATCAAGTTCAATAGGAAGGCATTCATCAGCAACTGATTATGATTTCAACCCACGTGGCTTCACCAATAATCCATGACAACATCTCTTCTACTTCAAGGGGTAGACATTTATCTACTATTATTTTCAACTTACGCATGGAAATTCCATCGAGACAATAGTATGTTCATAACCCACATGATATAATGGCTTCAAGTTCAAGGGGAGGACACGCAAGCAACAACTTCTTTGACCCCAACATTAGATTATCTGAGGAACTCTCATCTCCACCAGAATAACCTCTTCGTGAGCCAGGTGCAAATGGTGCTAAAATGGGATTATTCATTGAACCTAACTCACCATAGTTTAACGTACACTCTGATGATGATGAGGATGAAATTCCCATAAATACAACACCAGGCGAATTTCATGCACATATGTATGAGGCTGATTATAATGCAATGTACAAGCCTGAATTTCTGGATCTCCCTAATGTTTGCAACTATGGACTTCAGTCATCAGTCAATGACGGTGCTTTACATATTGGAATGAAGTTCGCATCGAAAGAGGAAGCCATGATGGCAATAAAGAGTTATAATATTCGTAACTCAATCCACTCCCGAGTTGATCGATCTACCATGGAGAAATATGTCTGCTACTATGTCCAACGTGACAACGGATGTAAGTGGATGGTTCGTGTATCAAAGAGGAAGAGGAAGAACAACTTATGGGAACTAACTAGATATAACGGTCCTCATACATTTTGTGCAATAGGTATAAACCAGGATCATCCCAACTTGGACTCCAACATTATTTGCCAAGCAATCATGCTCATTGTGAAGAAAAGCTCTCATATAGCTGTTATAGTATTGATTTCTGCTATTCAATCACAATAAGGGTACACCGTCTCCTATAAAAAGCTTGGTTGGCAAATTCCTCTTACAACAAGCTACCCAGTTGGTTTCATGTTATGCAAAAACTTAATCTCGGGATAATTGTTGAGTTCGAAACTCAACATCATTACGTGAATATCGAGTGGTTCACGATCGCTGCCAATTCTACCGTGTTTGTTATTTGTTGGACTTAACCTCAGTGTATTAATGCAGTAAAGTGCTATAAAACAGTTGTTCAAATTGATGGTACTTTCTTGTATGAGAAATACAAGCTAGTTTTATTATTGGTTGTGGTCCAAGATGGTAACTACAATATTCTTCCTGTTGCGTTTGCCTTCGTTCAAGGAGATCACACTAAGTCTTGGGCTTTTTTCCTTAAAAATTTACGTTTACATGTTGTCACAAGGGAACGCGTATGCATTATTTCAGACCGAGGAGCCGAGATAAAACCAGCATTGGACTCTTTGGGTCCAATGTGGAAACCTCCACATGTTCAACATCATTATTGTGTCCGTCATATTGCTGCAAACTATTATGGAAAATACAAGAAGAATGATGAACGTCAGTTAGTCGTGCACATGGGTATGTTAATTTTTTCCAATTTTTCAATCATTTTCGTATTACTTATTTATACTTCATATTAACTATTACATATTCCTAATGGCTTAGGTTACAAACTTTTACCTCAAAGGTTTGAGTCTATGCTACAAGAATTGTTTGGCAAAAATAAGAAGGGGTGCGAGTACAAATGCGTATGACGGGGGGTATCGCTATGGTCATATGAAAACCAACTTGGTTGAAGCAATCAATTCAACCTTAAAGGGGACGCGTCATTTACCAATCACGGCGTTGGTCAAAACGACTTATTTTTATTTGGGTCAACTATTTGCAAAGCTCGGTGGACAAGCTCTTACTTGGATGTAGAAAGACAATATTTATCACCGAAGACTAGTAGTTGATTTACAGAAAAAATGGCTGCATCAAATGAGATGTTGGCTACAAATTTTTCTCGCACCCGTGAATTATTTCGTGTAACCGAAATGCCACGTCCTCTTCAAGGGATTGAAGCTAAATCTTTCAGAGTTAATCTGCAAGAGAGGTGGTGTGATTGTGGTTTCTTTCAAGCACTCAAATCCATGCTCTCATGTCATTGCATCTTGCTCACGTTCGCATTTGGACAACAAAAATTATGTTGATCCCTTATACCAACTTTCAGAAGTATTCAAGGTATATGAATTTGAGTTTCCGCTCATAGGTAACGAAAGAGACCTAGATGAGATTCAAACTTGGCTTACAATTATACCAGATCCGTTGCTATTGAGGGACTCAGGTCGTCCAAAATCCACTAGAATACATTGTGATATGGATGTTCAAGAGAAGTCAACAGAACAAAAAAGACGTGGGCATTGTAGAAACATTGGGCACAATAGAAAAAAATTTCCAGCTCTGTTATCATCACATAACCATTAACCCTTATATAATTGCATTTTCTGTTTCAATGAATGTTTTTGTTTCTAATATTTAAATGTAATTGCATTTCGTATAATTTCCCAATATATGTTAAATTTTCCACTTACCTCTTACTTCAAGTAATTAACATTTTCAATTTAATCGAACCTGACCCTAAAGGCACGTTCCCTGAAAGGTATAACACTTTAACCTAAATTCACTCCACCTTTAATACACATTTAAAAAATACCTCGACAATTCTTAAATTATAACCGAAACACTTTACATAATAAATTACTAATTTATAATAATAATAAACATTAAATCTTTATTTAAAAAAAACCAGCGTGGTGCCACATCAGCTAAACCCCGTGAAAGCGCCCCCTAGGAATACGCCTTACCCGCGTGGCTTCCCAGTCAGCTAAAACCCCGGTAAAGCACGTCCCCAGGGATGCGCCTTTGTGCCAGCTCAGCCAAAAGGGTGTTACTTCGGGAAATATTGGTCAAACGGTGTTAGTTCGGGCATATTAGGCTTATAGGATGTTAGTTAGGTCAAATCGCCTCATTATGGGTTCAACGTAAGTTTGCAATTTGTGTCCTTCAAATTTGGTAAGGTTTCCTCTTTTTTAGGTGTTTCGTAGAAAGTAATGGAAAAAGGAAGTAAACAAGGGTTGTCGTCAAATTTTCCTTCTAATTCGTGGTTCTGACTGTTTGGTGTATGAGAAAATTTCGGGAACTGTTGGGTACCGAGCAGAATTTAAGCTAGTTGAAAGAATAGATTTTGATGGATATTAGCATTTACATGACATTCGTGAAGTTAGTGATTATAGTTTTCGCTTTTATAAGTTCATTTTCCCTAAAATTTTATAAATTCCTGAATGTAGCATTTTGACTTTTGTTGATTCTTTGCTGTGTAGTTCATGGAGTTGAAGACGGTTTTGGAGCGCACGAGCATGCAACGACCGGGATTTTTGAAGTGGAACCGAGGCAGTGTCCCGGTTTCACATTTAGGAAATCCATCTTGATCGGGAGGACGGATTTAGGTCCGAAAGACGTCCGAGCGTTTATGGAGAAACTCGCTAAAGAGTACTCGGGGAATTCGTACCATCTCATCTCCAATAACTGCAACCATTTTTGCAATGATGAGTGTGTTCAGTTGACATCGAAGCCGATTCCGCGATGGGTTAATCGTCTTGCTAGATTGGGTAAGATATCAACCATCTCCCGCCTCATTATAGTACTTCCTCTAATAGATCAGTTCTGGAGAAGATTGATACATACATAGAAGTAAAAGTGATGCTTTCCTTCTTCGGCATTTATTCTAATTATGTTATTTGCATCTCTTCGGGGGAACTACTAAAACCGTTCATCGGAAAGTAACAATTATAGTGCAAGTTATTTGTTGAACGTTGCTCTCGGCCTGCTGCAGGACCACCATTTGTTGAATGCAAAATGAAAACACTTGTATTAGCCGAGGTGTTATATGCCGTATACGTGCCCTGGCCGACATTTTACGTTGGTGAGAACTCACTCGGTTACTTACATGCCTATGCCTATGAGAAAGAGATATAAGATTCGGACATGGGTTGAATCCTGCTATACCTTCTGAAGTTATTTGTTCACTGTTTCTAGTTTCTCATTGATGATTTTGGTTGTGGTGAATGTATAGGTTTCCTTTGCAACTGTGTTCTTCCAGCGGGGTTTAACGAGACAAAAGTTCGCCAAGTTAGATCCGGTCAAGAGGCCGAGAAGAAGAAGCTGAGTGGCCATTCAAGTAGATATATGTCTTCCGCTAACCCTCTACCCAACTCCACAACATCCGGATCCTGTAGACAAAAGCTACATCTTCGATCATCATTGTCGTCGTCGTTTTTGATTCACAGTTCGTCAAGTTTGAGATTGAAGGTCTAAAAATAGTCGGTCACCATGGTATAGTTTTGAAGGGTCTTCCTACGCTGTCCCCGGTGTCAAGTTGGTTTAGTTTTTGGCAAATGAAAATGCGGTCAAAAGCGTGTTTCGTTGGGAAGTGGTAGATGTTTGGTAAAAGAGAGGCATGTGGCCCGTGAAACAGTGCGCGGGTAAGGTTCTAATGTGAACGATTGTGGCCCCGCCCTGTACTGGTTGGTCTCAAGTGGACCATGCTCACTATTATTATCATCTATACCCATTCCGTATTCAAATTCGATATATAAATTTAGTAACTTTAAAAGTAAAAAACAAACAAAATGGATAAAAGATTTAGATATCAAAAGAATGGATTTGTAGTTGGATCGATTTGTTTAACGATTAAACAAAATATTTAAGAAAAATGATTTTTACTTGATTCAGGCAGAGTCACGGGGTCAAGCAGTCAACCCTGACAAAGTTGGCCATCACCACCTTCGGTGCCGTTTCGGATCCTATGTTTCTTATACACAAAGAGTTTAAGGTAATGGTTCTAATCGAATCAAGTAAGTTTCATTTGAGAGCACAAATCAACTTATCTCAGTGATTAAAAGAATTATTATTATTTTTAGAGGTCAAAGATTCAAGCACTAGTTACTACAGCAGAGTGACTGACCGTTCTTTATCAAATATTTTAGAGTATTTAAAACAAATACTACTTTATAAATAACTTAGCTTAATAAAGAAAAAGATTGAGATATCCAAGAGCAGGATTAATTATTGGGTAAATCGCATTTAGGTCTTAAAATATCGATTTTAGTACGTTTTAGTAACTAAACTTTCATTTTTTTTCAAAATCATACCTAACGTTTAGTTTTTGTTTCATTTTAGTAACCACACTGTTAAAAATTTAACGGAACTTCTACACGTGATATTTTCATGGGTAAATTACATCATTCATCTCTTAACTATCTTCACACTTCTATTTTGGTCATTAAAGCTTAAAAAGTTTCAATTTAAATTCTCAACTTTAAAATTGCTCATGTTATAATCACTCTATTTTATTTTATTAATAATATTTTGTCACATGATTTTTTATTAATATATAATTAAAATAAAAAATTTAAATTTAAAAGTTAGAGTGATTAAATTAGAAATAATTTAAAAGTTAAGTAATTAAATTAAAAAAATTAAACTTCAATGACCAAAATAGGAGTAAGAAAATAGTTAAGGGATGAATGATGTAATTTACCCATAAAAAAGTGTCAAGTTGTGATAGTTTCATTAAATTTTTAAATGTAATAAAAACTAAATATCAAGTATGATTTGGAAAAAAATTAAAAGTTTAGATATTAAAACAGACAAAAACTTATAGTTTAGATACTAAACGTGTACCTTAACCTTAATTATTATAAAATAAAAATAAACTATATATTAATTATTTAAATTATTTCAATCAATACAATTATCTTTACTATTTAATCGAAAAACAATTAAAAATATATTTTACCATCATTGCTTATATTTTAGAGAAAATAGTCTCAGTGACCAAAAATGCCTTATAATATACGATTTTAACCAACTTTTTTTGGATTTGCCAAAAATGACCAACTAAATCGCAATGCGATCGATAATTCGCAACGCGATCTCCGGTATCGCAAACCAGTTTCCAGATTCGCAATGCGAACTTTGACTATCGCATTGCGATAGTCCAAGTTCGCGTTGCGATTTATTCCAAATTTGTTGCGATAGTCCAAGTTCGCGTTGCGATTTATTACAAATTCGTTGCGATAGTCCAAGTTCGTTGCGATAGTCCAAGTTCGCGTTGCGATTTATTCCAAATTCGTTGCGATAGTCCAAAATCGCAACGACTGGTGGTATTGCATTTGTTTCTTAAGAATTTTCTCTAAAAAAATAGTATTCGCGTGGACGTGTCGAAGACACGTATTACCACGACCACGACCACGAGACGAGACGAGACGGACGGCGACGGCGGCGGCACGCGAGAGTCCCCCTTGTTCTCTATCACTCAACAAGGAAGTGGGAAAGCCAAGCCTTAAATACCATTCCCAATAGTGTTTCCAATACTATGTGGGATTGAGCATTACCAACACTTGTTTCCAATACTATGTGATTATTCAGGAAACAATTAACAATCATACACCTTAAAACAACTGAATCAGCAACCAATTGCATTAGTATTATACGGTTAAATATGTCATAATTAAAAGTCAATCTACAATCAATCGCGATTATTGCAATTTTAAGCAAAACATTCAAAAAAAATTGCATCACTCGCGAGAATAAAAAAATTGTTATCGTGCAATTACAATCAATTGAAAATAAATTAGAATTGCATGAAAACTAAATGAACCACAAATACTTTTCATACAAATACTAAAGTCATTAACTATAATTCACAAATAATATCACTATTTAAGGCTCAATCCCACATAGTATTGGGAACAAGTGTTGGTAATGCTCAATCCCACATAGTATTAGAAACACTATTGGAAATGGTATTTAAGGCTTGGCTTTCCCACTCCCTTGTTGAGTGATAGAGAACAAGGGAGACTCTCGCGCGCCGCCGCCGCCATCCGTCTCGTCTCGTCTCGTGGTCGTGGTCGTGGTCGTGGTAATACGTGTCTTCGACACGTACGCGCGATTTTAGACTATCGCAACGAATTTGGAATAAATCGCAACGAACTTGGAATAAATCGCAACGTGATGTTCGCGTTGCGAATCTGGAAACTGATTTGCGATACCGGAGATCGCATTGCGAATTATCGATCGCATTGCGATTTAGTTGGTCATTTTGGCAAATCCAAAAAAGTTGGTTAAAATCGTATATTATAAGGCATTTTTTGTCACTGAGGTTATTTTCTCTATATTTTATTAGTTTAATCTTAAAATTCATTTAATTGGAGAAAAATAAATTGAAAAATAAGAAGTTTAAGGAGAATAAACCTGGGTTTTAGAGAGGTATTGGCGTGCCTTTACTATTGGACCAATTTCCATATTTGGTATCTGGTTACAATATAGTTTATATATCTAATATATAGTTAATGTTAGAAAAATATGCAAATGAAAGTGATAAAGAGAGGACTCGAATCTAAGCCGATGGTAAAGACACGCTAGCTAATCTTCTCCAAGACCCAAGTTCAATCTTTTAAATTGAATTGAGAATAAATTTATTAAGTTAAATCAAATTAATATAATGTGTAAGTAATAAATTTAGACACGTCTTCCGCTGTCTTAAATGTTCCTAGCCATATTCTACTTTTCCTACACAACCGAGGATAGAAAACCTTGTAATGTTGTTTTGAACTATTATAAAAGGAAATCTCTGAACATATCACAAAAGAAAATTATTTTGATCGGCCAATTCTGTGTGGTGGAATCACAGTTTATGAGCAATTTGTTGTATCATGTGGGAGTTTGAGTATATTATTATTGCATATAATGCCAGAAAAGAAAAGCAGCTAAGCAAATCGTTGTGGCAAGGAAAAGATTTTGAGCACCAACTTGCCAATGGAATGATTGGAGTCGATCCAAATGTTGGATACAGTAGTAAAAGGCCCTTGGACTCCTTTAGGCCATATTTACCATACAAAATCCATTTTTTTTTCAAGCTTTGCTGTAAGATCACATTGCTCCAAGACTGAGAATCACCTGATCTTTCAAGCATTACTTGTAAGGTTGATTTTTAGTTTCATTTCTTCTCTTCATCGTTGAGCAGGTCTTGGCCAACTCCACTCGTTCCATTAATTTTCATATTAGTGAAGTAATACAACTTTAAACTAAACTTGTAAATTTCTTAACTAGCCAAACAAGTTTAGTATGGTGTCGACACTAGTACATAAACAGAGGGTCCCCAACGTTGGGAAAATAACATGTTCGGAGCTTGAGGAGAATCGGTCGATGCCATTAGTCGAGCAGGAAAGAAAGGATGGCGCTTTACGTCTTATTTATTAGACATTGCATAGTTCAATGGAGCCATAGTGAAGCAGCTCCTCTATCGTGTGTTCAATGTGATTGTGATCCTCATCAAAAGCTTTAAACTGCCGGGTGCTTTCAGCCTCGGCTTTCTCGACAACCCAATTGTCTTCTGGTTCTTCAACAGTCATCAACGGTCTGTTTTCAACTGGACCAATTCCAATTCCATCGTCTCTCCCAACAATGCCATTATGGCTGGCAACATGTGGAGTTGGTGCGTTATATTGTGTCTTGTGTTCCGGTTGTTGTTTGGTAATTTGAAGTGAAGCCATGTAGCATTTGTGTAATTTAGCCGTCAAAGTTGATGAAAGAAGCTTGAATGGTGACGATCGAGGTGCACTAGGATTGTAAGGGAAGTTGGTTTTAGCCCTTGTTCCAAACATAAGCCTAGCGGCTTCATCGTACGCATAAGCTGCATCTTCCGCCGTTTTGAATGTTCCGAGCCAAATTCTACTTTTCCTGCACAACCAAAACCTTTTAGTTCTCTCAATTTCTTGTTATATAGACTAACAACAAATCAGACAATGATAAACCATCTTACAAGAGAGGATGGCGAATTTCTGCATTTGCAGATGCTGATTGGGGTGCTAATATAGACGATCGTCGATCAGTTTCTGGATATGGTGTCTTCGTTGGTTCTTGTCTTGTTACATGGAGCTCCAAGAAGCAAAAAACTGTGTCGCGTTCAACGATGGAAGCAGAATACAAATGTGTTGCCGACACCGCAGCAGAAGTTACCTGGGTAAGTGCATTACTTGCTGATCTTGGAGTAACCCCGCGACAGGAACCGGTTATATGGTGCGATAATACGGGCGTTGTGGCATTGAGTGCCAATCCGATTTATCATACTCAGTCGAAGCATATTGACTTGGACGTTCACTTTGTTCGGGAGAAGGTTGCGTCTGGATAGATGCGGGTTAACTATATTCCTGCACCGCATCAGCTTGCAGATGGTTTCACTAAGCCTCTGTCGAAGGCTGCATTTGAAGATTTTCGAAGTAAAGTTGGTGTGGTGTCTGGATCATTTGTTTGAAGAAGATGACAAAGAAGAGTAGGGAGAATATTAGACTATTTTGTATTCTGATATCCTATTCAGCATGTGCACGTGATACGGTTAGTTGTTGCCAGGTTGTTAGCTAGGATGTTAGGCTAACTAACTGACTTCACAATGTATAAATAATGTAGAGGTTCATGTGAAAATGCAGATCATTTTTCAGCAGTATTCTTTGCTTTTCACGTGTTACAGTAGTTTCTTAAAACGGGCACCCAAGAACCCCATTGCCTTTGTCGAACACCTCGATATCGTTGTTGTGGTCTGACGCTATTAGTCATAACGGCAACCTTTTTCTGCAAAAAGGTTTTGTGAAGATGACTGAACGAGCAAATGAGGTAAATATATCCATGCATGTAATTCTTCAACAATATGAATATGTACATGAGCATAAATGAAACAGAATATCAGTTTTCCCCAAAACTGTAATCGTCGACCATGAAATGTGAGTTCCCTCGGGCAAAGAAAATGGTAATGACATCACACAACGAGAGAGGAGAAACACAACATCATGGTCATGTATATCATTAGATATTTGTGTCCTTTGAATGCACATTTTCCCTTTCATCTATCCTTGTCACTTACGTTAATTTGTTTGTTCTTTTCAGTTACTTATTATGGGAAATTATTTGATATATAAACTATGTAAAATTTAGTTTAAACAATAATTTAATACTAAATTTTGTAGTATCTCCATTGTCATTCTTTCGTCCATTGATCACGAAAGTTTCATATCCTTAACTAGTTAAATTTTCTTGACATAATAATTGACAGGTCCACGCGATCTACCAATCATATCTATTATAGGACAAACTGTTTACTATGTTAAACTACAAATAGCAATCACCCTAGGCATGACACTAACACTAAGAGTAGGTCTATAAATGTTTATAAATCACCACGTAAGGTTAGAGAAGGGGATCACACACTTTTCCTCTCTGGATTGCTCACCATCTTTTTTTACTCTTCAACCAAAACGTTAATTAGAAATTTAGATAGAGATTGTAAGAAAATTTATACCTAAACTCATCATATATCTACGTTGATATTTCAAAATACTACAGCAAAACTGGCTTTTTGCGGCATTTTTTTACCTATAACGGCGTTTTTAAGCGTCGCAAAAAACACCTGTGGCGTTATGACAAATGCCGCAAAAAGCGCCGCTAAAGTTCACGGCGTTTGTTAACGAAAAATGCCGTAATAGGTTCTGATATTTAGCGGCGTTTGTTAACGAAAAATGCCGCAATAGGTTCTGATATTTAGCGGCGTTTGTTTTAAAACACTGTAATAGGTTTTGAGATTTAGCGGCGTTTTTGGATACAAACGCCGCTAAAGGTCTGGTATATAGCGGCGTTTTTATTAAAAACGCCGCTAAAGTTTTGGTATATAACGACGCTTTCAGTATATAAACTCCGCTAAAGGTCTGGTATATAGCGGCGTTTTTAGAATACAAATACCGCTAAAGATCTGGTATATAGCGTCCTTTTTAGGATACAAATGTCGTTAAAGGTCTGGTATATAACGGCGTTTTTAGAATACAAACGCCGCTAAAGGTTGATATATAGCGACGTTTGTTAATAAAACGCTTTAATTGGTGTTAATAGTTTGCGGCGTTTTTTTATAAAAATGTCGCCGCTAAATGTATGATATATTGAGGCATTTTTTGTTACAAACGCAACTAAATAACACAAAATTTAACAAATTAAAAAATATTGTCGACTACCCCAAATCTATTTTTTCAACCTGTTCCATTATCCAACAAACATGACAACAATAACATCAAACTCTATATCCAGAACAATCAACATCATATCCAATATAATAAATAAAAGTTTTCATTAATGTAATATAAGTTCAGTTAAACACGGTTCAATAACATTAAAAGAATGCTGATAACATAAATGAGACTATGATGGTGGATTTTGAGGTTGATTTTTCTGTATCATATGCATCATATCATTGAGTCGTTTTTCAAATTCTTCACATCTCTGCTGATATGTTGCTTCTCTCTGTGCTGTCGCTGCTTCCCTTGCTTCATTTTCTGCTTTCAAGTTAGCCATTTGTTGATCCATCTCAACCAACTTTTGTTTTCAACGACTAACTTCTAATTGGGAAGATTGAGACAGTGATGACTTGTACTGTGATGAACTGGATCCAAAATATTTGGTGGGAGTAACAAATGATCCTTGACAACGCACCCGACCATATCTTTCAAGACCCAAAACATCATTAATAGCTTGATTTTCAATGTCATCATCATTAACAAGACCTTAACTCTAACCAATCGTATAATACTCCGCCCTTTTCTCCCTCAATTTATCCTAGTAATAAGGTGAATAATTAATTAAAATAAAAAATGTCATGGTACAAATATAAATAAAGTCAGGTAAATTTAAAACATCTACCCAATAAGCGTACCATAATTTCTGCAGCTTCAACAGTCATATGAGTGCCATCCTTCTTCGTATGTGTCATGTCGAATAATTGGATGCGACCAACTTTAGAACCGGATGTATTTTCCTACAATGTACCATAATATAATTACTATGAGTTAGTATGTACATGGAATACCAAAAACAATGTCAATAATCTATAATACCTCCTCATTAGCTATACAAGCAAAACTCTTCGATCCAGCCGTGTGCGTAAACTTTTGATATTGCCTGCTAGCAACACCAACATGCTCTCGGTCCTACAATGTCAAACAACCACTTTTAATGATAATTTATAATTCCTTATAATTATTTCTGAAAAATACATCATACATGTCCTTTTTGTGAACTCCAAAATCTGACTGCATCTTCCCATTGGTACCTGAACATTCCAGGTGGGACTGTTTGCAGCTTCTCTTCAAGGCTGAGATCATTCTTGAAGTATTTCTTCTTTAAGGAGCTCTTGTGGTCCCTCAATCTCTTCCCTAACGCTTGCTTCACATAATCGTCAGAGACCTCTAAAGAAAATTTCTCCTATACAACAAATAAGTGTGCACCGTAAGTATACATTAGTATTGAATTTCTATAGAGTATATACTAATAATGACATTATTACCTTAACAAAATCCAACACTTGATTTTTGTTACTATTAGGCATTTCGCGCCATGACTCATAATTGATCGGTAACAGATTCGCATTACGTCCAACTATGCCTAAGTAATCTGCTAGAAGACGTGCTTTTGGGCCAATAGGTTGATCAACATCGTTTCTTGAAACTTTGACACGATGCCCAGGAGAAAGTTGATATAATTCCTTCAAAGTTGTATGTCCTCGAGTCTTGCGCGTTCCAGCATTTTCAAATATATAAGAAATTATTAAATGTCAGTTTTGAAAATGAACAATGTAGTAAATAAAGTTTCGAAGATTACCTTGAATTTCTACTTCTTCTTCAACAGTTTTAGGAATATCGGAAGACTCAGGTGCATTCGATTCATTGTTATTTCTTTCTTTATGGTATTCAGAAGCTCGAACGACCCGCAAATTAGTTATTTTTCTCCTCGACATGATATCTGTAATAAACAAACATATGTAATAAAAAACGAATTAATTAATGAATATATTGAAAGACAACATCTTAAAGGTTATAACATTATAAATAAATAAATGAAGATATAAAATCGTACGACATTCTTATATAATGTCAGTTGTCATAAATATCTTCATCAACGTCCTCTCGAACCCATTGAAATTGTGTTGTATTTATGATAGTTTCATCTAAGTTTTGTGGTAGTAGAGGTAAACATTCTGATCTTGTTTCAATTTCATCTCTACTTCCATCCCCGATGTCTATCAAGTCTCTGGGAGTATTTCAGAGCACAACATACCAACCGTCATCCATTGGATCATGACAATAAAATACTTGTTTCACTTGAGAAGAAAATACATATGGTTCATCCATTAAACGTTGACCCGTATGAATTAATCGAGAGAAATTCACCATTGTAAACCCGAATTTATCTCTTTTTATGAATCTGTTTACATCAACCTAGTCACACCGAAACAACATAAACTTTCGTTTTCCATAATAATCTAACTCAATAATGTCCGTAAGATTTCCATAATAATCGACCTCTTCCTCATGCGGATTATTGTCCCTGACACTAGCATAACTTGTAGTTGATGAAGTAACTACGACTCCACAATTTTGTGTCCTCCTTAATCATTCACGAGATTTCGTGTGGAACCTGAACACATTAATGAGGAAGGCATTATATCTTTTAACTATTATATTCGGACCTTGAGAAAGCCATTTACCATCTTCACTAACTTCTCTCACACTCCAAACCTATTACACATGAATGGTGAATTAATTTGCATTGATTTCAATATAAAAAACAAGACATATATTATTTATAAGTATGTGGAATGATTTAGTTGCTTACCGTCTGGCCTAACCATTCATGAAATGTTTCTGTGAATAACTTATGTATCTCTCGCTGTTGTAATCTTCGGGAGCGTGCACGAGATCTCAACACTTCTTTAAACTCACTATAAAGTATATTATGTCGTTAAAAATGATTTAGCATAAAAAAGAGATTTCATTAGGATTGAGTTCGAAAGACTTACGTGCGAAAGGGATCTATTGAATCTTGAACCCAAGACGTGTCATCTAAGTGTGCAATTTCAACTTTCCCTAATGGTTGACCATAACTTCCAAACAAATAATGTTGAGGTAAGTCGTTAGTACTTAACACATCATTTCGATTTGGTCTATTCCATCTTGTTTCAACATCTTCCAAATATCTAGAGCAAAATGTCATACATTCCTCTGCCAAATACCTTTCAGCAATTGATCCTTCTGGATAACGCTTATTACGACACTAAGACTTCAACTTGCCCAAGAACCTATACACAAAACAACACAGTACGTAAATACATTTTATTAAAATGTATAATCAGTAGTAATTTGTAAAGTATCATTCAATTAACACCTCTCTATAGGGTACATCCATCGATAGAAAACTAGTCCACCAACTTTTTCTTTGTGAGGAAGATGAATTAGCAGATGCACCATAATTGTGAAGAATGAAGGTGGAAATATCTTCTCCAAGTTGCATAAAGTCAAGGTGACTCGATCTTGTAGTTTATCAAGTTATTCAACCATTAGAACTTTCCCACATATGGCTTTCATTATATTAGAAAGTTCAATGATACAAGACGTCACCTTACTCGACATGCAACCGCGAACAGCTACTGGCAGTAAATCTTGCATTAATATGTGATAATCATGTGACTTTAAACCATAAAGTCTTCGATCTTTAACACTGACCATCGAGAAATGTTTGATGCATACCCATCTGGGACCTTTACATCCTTCAACACCGTGCAAAACACTTCTTTTTCTTTCTTCGAAAGAGAAAAAAATAGAAGACGGCAAGAAATATCTTCCATTCGGATGTAATTACGGATGAAGATCATGCCGAATTCCCAGGTCCACAAAGTCAAGTCGACTTTTAAGATTATCTTTAGATTTTCTGACATCATTCAGAATGGTCCCGATAATATTCTCACAAACATTCTTCTCAATATGCATTACATCAAGATTATGTCTCAGAATCTACTTCTTCCAATAAGGTAACTCGAAGAATATACTCCTCTTTTTCCACAAGTCTACCTCATTTGGATCATCCTCTTCATCAGACTCATCATCACTCTGTTGGTCAACTTCAACCTCTTTATTGACCTGCTTTGCCTTTTCCTTTGATCATGTACTACTTGGTTGATTCATCTTTCCATAAGTCAAATTGATATTTTTCAACATTCTGAATATTTCAGACCCGGTTGTTTGGTTAGGAGCATTTTGAAACTCTTCATCACCATCAAACATATTCTTTTGACATCTAAATCTATGATTATCATGTAACCACCGATGATGTCCCGTATAAGAGAACTTCTTTCCATTAACCAACAACTTTGAACATGTTTGTGCAGCACAACAAGGACAAGCATAACAACCTTTGGTACTCCAACCAGATAAATTTGCATAAGCTGGAAAATCATTAATTGTCCATAATAATATCGGGCGTAAATTAAAGTTCTCTTTTGTCAACACACCGTACGTTTCAACCCCTTCCCATAACTGTTTCAACTCAGTAATTAGCGACTGCATGTAAATATCAATATCATTTCCGGGGCCTTTATCGCCAGGGATTATCATGGATAAAATGAAAGATGATTGTTTCTTGCAAATCCAGGGAGGTAAATTGTATGGAACAAGTACAACAGGCCAAGTACTATACGAAGTACTTATTATTTTGAATGGATTAAAGCCATCAGTTGTAAGACCGAGCCTGAAATTTCGAGGATCTCTGGCAAAACTTGGATACTTGTTGTCAAATGACTTCCAAACTAAAGAATTTATAGGATGCCGTAATACTCCATCATCGGTTCTGCCATCAAGATGACACCTCATAGAGTCAGCAGTCTTGGAGGACATAAACAATCTTTGTAGCCTAGGTATTAGAGGGAAATATCTCAGAATCTTGATCGGTTTCTTTCTTGATCATGCTTGAGCTTAATCCTCAGTAACATTTTTTGCCTCCCTAGTCATCCATCGAGATTTTCCGCATACATGAAAAGATTCCTAATTTTTTTGATCATCCCAATACAACATCCAATCATTCAGACAACTATGAATTTTGTCATATCCAATACCCAAATATTTTATCATTTTCTTCATATCTTTGCATGATTGAGGAATTTTTGCAAAAGGAAACACTTCTCCTAGTAACTCCAATAATTGCGTAAAGGAGTTTCCAGTCCACCCTCCCAGGCATTTTAAGTGGAAAAGATGAATGCAGAACGAAAGCTTTGAAAACTTTGATCCCTCATAAAATTTTTCATTTATTTCATTCAGCAACTTGTAAAACTTTGCCGCTTCTCCATTTGGCTCTTCATCACGTCCAATTCTTCCCGTCTCAATGAAATCATTAACATCATCCTGAAAATAATTTTCTATAACATACGGCTGTTGATTGTGCATATTAAATGCATCTCGTAGCATCCCTATGTCATCTTCTTTGAAAGTTGGATGGTGAGAAGGTGCAGGATAAGTAGAATAACTCGTGGAAGCATATCTATTTGATACAAACTCTCCATGAAAGATCCATTTTCTATACCCCCGAACAAATCCAAAAATAACTAGATGCTTGTACACAACTTCACGAATATGCCAATTAATGTTCACATAATTCGTACAAGGGCAAAGAATCATATTCTCTTGGCTTGCATTCACAAAAGCTAAATTTAGAAAGTTTTTGACTCCATTTTGATATTCGACGCTTACCCTTGAGAAATTCATCCAACTTTTATTCATTTTGTATTTCTGGAGTTTCAATTTAAAAGGTTAATTGCTAATATTATAGATACATTTATAACCTAAACATAAGCATTAAACTATCAGATATAGTCCATAATAATTTAAAACCTAAATTGGAGCTGCTCAACTCAATCAGCAACTACAGAGATAATTTAAACCGACG